AGGGTGGAGATGATACAAGAGATTGGGGGGGGGGTGTGTGTGTGTACATGATGCATCTATTGGGAAAGGCACGACCATGCCTTTGCAGTTGATCTAAGGTAATTCTTTTGTTGTAAGAGTACCCAGATAAATGCTTGAACCTTGTGAAGCAGGGGAGTAGAAAGAGGCAACAGTGAAGGCCTCTGAGTGGTTAAGGGATCACAAAAAGGAGTCTTGACTCTGAAGGGAGCTATAGAGGGCTGCAAGAGTCTGGAGGAGGGAATTAAGGGCTGAGATTTCATGGTCTGTGAGGGTCCTCCTGAATATCAAAGTCCACACAAGACTGGAGTTTCTAAATTCGTAGTAGTCCTTAATAAGGGCGTCCTTGTCTAGGGCCAGATGGAAAAGGGAAGGGACGGCTAGATTGAAGGGCACATCTATCCATTTGTCTAACCAAAATCTGATATGCCGGCCATTACCCAGCCTATATCTACTTCTGTTGCGGAAGGCTTGCTTTTTGGTGGATATAGACTTCCAAGCTCCCAAGGATCTATGTGGGAGAGTTTTGGGCAGCCAGCGACCTTCCTCAAGGCTGTATTTCTGTTGGATAAGGTTCTTCCATAGAAGGGGGTAGGGCGAAGTGAATTTCCACCACCATTTGCCTAGCAAGGCTGGGTTCATGGTTCCAAGTCTTTTGATGCCCAAGCCACCAATTTTCTTTGGGTGCTGACTTTTCCCAGGGAGCAAGGTGATATTTGTGTTCTTCAAAAGACCCCGCCCAAAGGAAATCTCTCATAAGCCTTTCGTGGTGTTGAAAGATGGAGATAGTGATTTGGAGGAGAGGGAGAAAAGTTGAATAGCTTGTTACTTGGCTAGCCTTAAAATTGTTAATGTCCGTCTTGGATTTATTTCTTTGGGAAAAAGAAGATGATTGTGAGTCAAGTTATCTAAAAAGTAATCATGCTATGGAGTCTATCCGATTTGATCAAATCATTGATACCAGATAAGCTACTAGGATACCTTAGAAAAATGAATTAACAGTAGGGCATAAGACTTCAAATAGTTTTATGCATTCTGACATGTTTCCCGCACCCATGGGAGCATAGTGTCAATTTTCTCCCTCCGGTAAAAGTCAAGCTAGGAGTATTTATAGGAACCAAAATCTGGGGATGTGACCTCTTGAAAACAGCAACCAACCCTAAAAAAAAAAAAGAAGAAAAAAAAAAGAAATTCCAATTGCACACTTTATGTGCTTGAAGAAAATAATATCACAAGATTGAACAAGGACAGTCCAATTTGGGGGAAAGTTCTAAGTATTGAAGAACTCGAAATCTTTTTTCTTGTTTGAAAATAAACATGTAGTGAATTTCTGATAAAAAAATTCTCCGAAGTTGTTATTTTGCCTAAGGGAGTTGGTGTATGTATACGTGCTATTACAATTATCATGAACCAATAGAAAATTTTGATGAAAAAAATATAATCATTGAGGTAAAAAATTGTTATGTTTGAAATGTGTTACACATAAAATGAAAGTAAGCATGGAAAAATGTGGCATAACCTGTCTTCTTAATGGTCAAGGGAGAAACCTTACTAGTATACAGACTAGATTCATGAATCAAATGATGATAATATGATAGGAAACAAAACTTGAGCTTCTTTTCATATGGTTTGAAGTGCTTGAGTTTGTCAGCACAAAAGTTTTATGATGAGAAACTATGCTACCCCACAAGGGAGCTGTAGAAATATGCCTTAAGAGGGATTGCAGCAAATAGAGATTCAAAGGTACCTTTGTTGAAAGAGATGAAGTAACTCTTATGTGGATAGAATTCACAATTCCTAGCACACCTGGTTGATTGTATTGTCATGTTCTTAATTTCCATGATATGAGTATATACCTTCTGTCAGTGTTCAAAAAAGCGGGCTGCCCAGGCAGTCCAGAAGGCTTGGGCACATCGCCTAGGCCTAGGCAACCAAACTGGGGGACAGGACCTGGGCGGACGCCTAGGCGGTACGGAACCTGCCTAGGCGGGCGCCCAGCGCCCAGGGCCTGCGCTGGATTTTTTTTTTTCGTTGTATTGATTTATTTTGAAATATAAAAAGTTTGAAGGATGGGTTTTAAGTTCATTTCAAATTTAAACCCGCCAGAACCCATTTTAGAGAGAAAGAAACCTCAAAAAAACTAAATTTTGTGACTTTCATTGGATCGAAGTGTTTTCAAAGTTACGAAAAACAGATCCAAACATCACCTAGGTAAATTTGATTTAATTTTGGAGTTTTATAATCTCATTAGAGGGTGTTTTTTATTATTTTAGCATCAGAAAACATCTCAGAGGTAGGAGTTTGGAGTTTGAGCAATCAAAGTAAGTGCAAAAATTTATTTTTTAGATTGCTTGTTTTATTTTTGAGATGACTTCTTCAGGATCTAGACGAAGTGGAGATCCGGGTTGGAAATATGGATATAACCTGAATCCAAATAATAAAAATTGCATTAGTTGCAATTTTTGTGAAAAAGATACGAAAGGAGGCATAAACCGGTTTAAGAAACATCTTGGTGGTATTAAGGGGGATGTTGCCCTTTGTAAAAATGTTCCTGAATCTATCAGAGACGGGATTAAGCAATATATGAGTTTTGTAAAACAAAAACAGGAACAAAATCCTTGTCATTTGAATAAGTCTATTTCTGCTACTTCTAGAAGAAGTGATCTGGGTTGGAAGTATGGGTATAACCCAAAACCACACGATAAAAATTGTATAAGATTTAATTTTTGTGAAAAAAGAATCATATCTGGAGGACGTCCAACGACTTCGCAGATCTCTTGGCGAAAGAGGGAGCTAGAAGTCAAAGTCACGAAGTTCAAGCTGGATCCACCTCCTTTTTTGTGCAGGACCAGTGACACACATCTTAAACCTTTTTGTTCATAAGCGTTTTCTTCAGTTGTATTTTTGAAAGCTCAATGTAAATCAATGTAATAGGGCGACATTTATAAGCCCTTTTTTGTACATGATAGACTAAATTTTGTTTTGGCCGAGTCCCTGTGTGTGGGTGACTTTGGTTCACCATAACCTTGTAATATTTCCTCATTAATACCAGTTAACTTTCTCTCAAAAAAAATTGTATAAGAGTAAATTTTTTGTGAAAAAGATACCAATGAGGGTATTAACTGATTCAAGAAACATCTTGCCAATATTAAAGGGAATGTTGCTTTTCGTAAAAAAGTTCCTGAAGTTATTCGGGATGAGATTAGACAACTTTTGAATTTAAAAGAACCAGAAAATGATGAAAATGAGCCTTGTTCTGTGGAAATATCTTCTTCAAGTTCTTCTAAAAGTGGTGATCCGGGTTGGAAGTATGGTTATAACCCGAATTTCAATAATAAAAATTGTACTAAATGTAATTATTGTGGAAAAGATACTAATGGGGGCATTTACCGGTTTAAAAAACACCTTGCTGGTATTAAGGGGGATGTTGCACCGTGTTAAAATGTTTCTAAGGCTACCAGGGAGGAAATTATACAATATTTGAGTTCAGAGAAGCACAAAAAGATAGAAAAGTGTAGAGCAACCAAGACTTCTAGGGCCTCATATGCATATACTAGTAAGAGGGAGGTAGAAGAAGAGGAGAAGGAAGAGGCAGATGCAGAAGAAACAGAGGAAGACAAGCGTTATATTGAAGAAGGAGATGACTTTGATGATGATGGCCTTGATTTTAATGCATATCATGAAGCTTACCCTATTCCTTCTGATGATGATGATAATGATGATGATGATGATGATGATGATGATAATGATGATGGAAGAGTGAAGACTCTTGGTGTTGAGTGTTGACTGTTGTGTGACTTGAGTGTTGACAATTGTGTCCTAGACTGTGTATTTTTTGAATTTTTGTATATTTTCTTTTTCTTATTTTTAGTTTCTAGTTCTACTATTTAACATTTGTCTGTACAGTCTACAGTGTATCAGGCTATCAGTATATGCTCGTGTGGTTTTACTGTTTTAGCAATGTATGAAAATATAGATTATGATCTTATGGATTATCAAAATTCTCTTCTTGACTTCTAATTTGTTTTTTTTTTAATTGGGATTATGGTCATGCCCTCAGTCACACCATGAGTCCCTCTATCAAGGGCCAGAACCTGGGCTGCCCAGGTTCTTGGTGCCCTCCTAGGCGTTGGGTGGCTTGGACCCCCATGGTCGCCTGGGTGCTGCCTAACGCTTTTTGAAATACTGCCTTTTGTCTTTGTCTGTCAGAGCTATGTGTCTGTCTGTGATTTTGGTAATTTCAACTTGCATCCAAATATTTTGAGTAACAATGCTGCTAACTTGCTAGACCCTTTAGACATGACCAGCGTGAACGTGACACTTGCCTGGGTTCATAAACTTGAAGTAGATGCGCTAATTCTCTGTTTTAAATACCAACAAAATGTCCTTCAGTACTGAGAGGTATATTGCTTGGAAATTGCATCCAAAATGTTGAAACTATAGGGATGTATCATAAAGACAACATTCTCAAATTTCAGATTTGAGAATCATAAGAATAGAATATAAGTAGTTATTGGAGCTTGTAAGTTAGAAAATTGAAAAGGCAAGCTCCAACATTTCCAAAAATTATAGACATCCATTCCACTTTGCACATATAAATAATCTCTATCATTTGTTAAAATCTCGACATGCCTTAAACTTCGCTCTCTTGTTAAAGTTGATCAATTTGAGGTTATTAGGGTACTCTTGCTGATAGATGAAAAGAATATAAAAGCATTAATTTCTCATCAACAGTGTTTCAAAAAGCACTAGGCGGCCCCTAGGCAGCAGGGGGGGGGGGGGTGGGGGCATCCAGGTCGCCCAGTGCCTAGGCGGGTGCCTAGAACTTGGGTGACCTAGTAGAAAGAAAAATGTCTCTATAGTCTAACAGTATAAGTATAGTTGTATAAAACATAAGAATTAGGGATTTAGGGCACATCAAGTGTATAATACACAAGTCCACATAGCACGCACTCCTCTATACTCCATAACCATAAGTCCATATCCAATTACCCATATTCCATAATTTGATAGTCGACAGTCCACACATAATTAAAACTTAAAATTTACCAATCAAATTACCAAAGTTACCAAACTAGTGGAACCACAAATCTACAATACACAACAAAGAGGAGGAAAACAAAAATGAAAGAAATACTTGAAGACTCAAAAGAATCTTCAATCATGATTCATCATTCATTATTAGAAAAAGTAGGGTTAGCTGCATCTGCATCATATGCATCGGAGTCGATGCCATCATCACCGTCATCATCTCCCTCCTCGACATAATGGTCATCCTTCTTTATCTCTTCTGAATCTGCCTCTGCTTCCTCTACCCCCATCGTTTGTGAAGAAGATCTAATGGCCCTAGGAGGGTCGAATGATGTCCCTGAGGCATCCATGATTATGTCTCATGTCAATCCTTTATGCCCCTCGACCTAATCATCATCAACCAATCACTCCATAGCATTGTCCATATTTTTTGATCTGAGGGGGGTCTCTCTTATCTCTCTTAGCAAACCTGTCCTTCTAGAATCGATTATCTTGATATAGATTAGGTCATTGAGCCTCTTTGATTCAAGCTTGTTCCTTTTCTTTGTATGAATCTAACAAAATCAAATGAAATTAATTAATATAAATAATTAAATATATTATAGTAGTACTACAAAAATAATAACTATTAAAGTACTAAATTACTAATACAAATTACCATCTCAAAAGTATTGCAATTCCGCTCACAATCGGACGAGGTAGTGGTTTGGTTTAAGATTTGAATGACCAACTTTTGTAAATTTCGAGCACTACATCCATGTTCGCTCCACCAAGTGGCTGCAAAGATATAGAATAATTAAATAAGAGAATTATAGAAATGAAACTTGATTACTTGAACTTGATAAACTTAAGAATATTATTACCTGGATCAATTTTGGTCCTTTGCCTTGTCACCATTGGACTCCCAAAAGACTTGCATGCGCACTTGTAGTTTATCACCTCATCAGCACATATAATATCTTAGATATCCGGATAAGGGATTAGCACATCTACACACTTATTAAATCCTGTCATAATTGTGTCATTTGTGTGTATATCCCTATCAACATAAAAAAAGATGGGTTTAAATAATAACCAGCTGCATGTAATGGCCAATGTTGTTGCTTATCCCACTTCTCATCAATAATCTCCCAAATAGACTTGTAGTAGCTCTCATCATCATCTAAATTTTGGGTTATCTCTCTCTTGCATCTCTCCATAGCCTCATATATGTAGCCTATAGAATCTTTATCACTACCAACCATGCGAAGGAGTTTGACGAGAGGAAAAAATACCTTAGGAGCGCCTTTCACCCATCGCAAAAAAGCCTTAGAAAGGATAATATCTCTCACCTTCGTCTCAACCTGATCCTTAGACTAGTTGCATGCTCTCCATTTATTCGAGGTAAACATTAGCCTCAACTGGACTCTCCTCGAATTAAGGTTTCAAAAAACGCTAGGCGGCCCCTAGGCGGCCTGCCTGGTGCCCAGTGCCTAGAATCTCTGGCGCCCTGTGGTGCAAATTCTTAACATTTTTTTATATATTTGCTATCCAAATGCACATATATGTATATATTTGTGTCAAATTTTGTAATTTATTCCATTTGAAAATATCACAAGTTCACAACATACGTTTTTATATACAAACATATCACATATCTCAAGTTGAGAATAAACTTATTCAAAATTTTAAACCATACAAAACATTTGAAAGTCTAATAGGCTATTGTAAGGTCTCCAACTCTCATATTCTCCATATTCCATATCCATAAAATAGACCATAAAAACATCCAAGTCTCCAAATCTCGTGACCCCAGGTATCACAATCTCTTTCTTCTTTGTACATCTATAAATCATACTGAGGGTGAGAATGTGGCTATAAATGAAATTCTTAACTGACTTTGCCTTCTTCACTGCACCTAAAATTTCTCTCAAACCACTAAGTGCCTCAAACATGAGGTCTATACAATGTGCTGTACATGTTGTCCAAAAGATTCTAATATAAGCTATGCGCAACCAATTAGTAGCAACAACATTAGGAACAACATCATCTGTGACAACCTGTATAACAAGCTGCTCCCCAACCTCCTTGATTCCCTTCTCCATAATTTGGAATATGTAATGGGAATCATGGCTATGATCAGAGGCATCAATAGACCTAAAAAAACAGTCCCTAAAGGACGATTCACCAGCAAATTCAGTTGGCTTCTTCTCTTCCTATCACTCCAAACATCAGTCATAATAGAAACTCCATTCTGAGCCCATGCATCCTTCTGAACTTCAACAACATCCTTCATGACACTACTTTTTTCAAAAGAGGCTTTGAAAGCTCATGAAGTTGGGAGTTTTATCCCAAGCCCAAATTGGCCAATTATCTCTACCAAGGCATAAAAGTTGCTTATGCGAGTGGTATTGAAAGGAATGCTCGCCTCATAAAACCATGCAGCAATATATTGTGCAGCTCCATCTCTCTCTTGATTCTATTTTCAATGGTGGTTTGCTTCTTTGTTTTCACTGGGGCAAAAAAAGTTAATAGGGTCTCTAACCTGAGCCTTCCTAGGCCCCGAACTCCCAGAAGCAATTACAACTTCCTTTCCCTTCCCCCTAATCATGGATTGTTGTTGTTCTACCTCTTGACATCCCTCCCTGTCTTCATCACTATCATCGTCATCTAACCCCAGACCTAGTCTCTGCTATGGATGCATGTCTCTCATCTTTTTTCGTTTTTACAAGACTCAAAAAATTTTTATCTCCTCTTTAATAAAATCATGAGCTTTTTTACATGTGGCAACATCCCCCCTGATACCAGCAAGATGTTTCTTGAACCGGTTTATGCCTCTTTTTGTCTCCTTTTCACAAAACTTGCATCTTATATAATTTTTATCCAAAGGATTGGGTTGTAGCCATATTTCCAACCTGGATCACCACTTTGATTACTTTAATTAAATCTCGAAGAAAACATCTTAAAATAATACAAGCAATCAAAAAAATAATCACTAACTTTGATTGCTCGATCTTCAAACTTCCACCTCGAAGATGTTTCTAAGGACTCAATCTCTACTAAAATACCCTCTAATAGATTTATAAAACATCCAAAACTAAATCAAATATCAGTGGGTGATGCTTAGATCAATTTCTCGTAACTTTGAGAAACTCTTCGATTCTATGGAAATTACCAAAAACTAGTTTTTGAGGGTTTTTCTCTCTAAAATAGGCTCTAATGGGTTTTGGGTTTCAAATGAACCTAAAACCCACAATCTTGCCCTTTTAGCATTAAAAAAAGACAAAAACCTGCCCTTAATGAGGGGCATTTCTGCCCCTGAGTGGGGAGCAGGGGACCGTCTAGGCGGCTTCCTGGGTGCCTAGGGGGGCACCCAAAGATTTCCCGCCTAATTTTGCTGCTCAGGCCTAGGCATTCGCCCAGGCCTTTTGGATCGCTCAGGCTTGGGCGTCCGCCCAAAATGCAGAATTTACGGAATCAATGAGTTCTTTTAAAATTTTCGATGTCTTGCAACAAGAAGCAATGGATGTTGAAAAAGAGGGCAAAATTTTTTTTTTTGATTTGTTGCAAATTTTTTGTTATTGGTCCCAACAGATTTTCAGAAATTAGCAAACCTATGGGATCTTGGGCATTGGAAATTCAACAAAGATGGAAATCTCCCAAGGATATAAGCGATTGAATTCTAAAACTCAAGTCATGCATGTTGGAAAGAAAATAGTCCAAATTTCATGAATCTAGTCGCCATTCATTAAAGCAGTCTGAGAATCCTAACATTGGTTTAAAACTGGCCATATGATCCTAAACTTATGGAGAAGATTACTTCTAGAAGAGGATAATTGTTGTATTTCAAAGAAAAGATTAAAGTTGAAAAATTCATCAATTACAAGTCCTTTCATTGGATATTTTTGTTGTCGTGGTTATGTGATATACGCCAGTTGTAACTTTTTGAAGTAGTTCTACCTCTCTGAGGCCGGCATGCTTAACATTGCTGAAATTTGCATAAATCTGCACCACATTAATATCAATATATAAGGAAAAGAAAATTTCAAGGAAAAGGTTTATGAATCTGCACCACATTAATATCAATATATAAAGTAAAGGAAATTTCCAAATCCTAAAGTTGGTTCAATGCCACGTTAATTTTGATACAGTTTGAAAGATACTCTTGTGTTAGTTAGGCTTAATTGCAAGAGTTTGAAGTGATCAAAACATCCTAGAGATAAAAAAAGATGCATATACCTCCTATGCATGCAAGCATACACATTCAAATATATCCCCCTCTATTTTAAAACAATTTTTTGAGGGTTGGAGAGAGTTGTTAAATTTCTGCTAGGGTTTCGCATGGAGGATGGTTTTCAGCCATGGCTGTGAAATCTTGTGATCTCCGCATGGTGTCTATGGACAGCCCTGGCCATTAGGAGGCTCTTCCCATGGATGGGAAGCCACCAGATCCGAAGAACTATGTCGGTGTTTCTTCTTCTTTGGGATCTGGCGGAAACGACCTTGCAACTGGTATTGGCAGTGACAGGGAAAGGTCCGTCAATGGGCCTGGCTTTTTAGTTATCGCTAGTTCTGGATTTGAAGGAAATCACTCAGTTGGTGGTATTAGTCGCAAGTCCGGGTGCATTCAAAGAGATTTTAGACGGAGGCTTAGGATTTGTTCGTGCGGATCAACTCATCACCAGTTTTGGTTAGCAAGTTGTTTCTGGTGGAAGTATTCAGGCCTGCTCTCATGGTTTGAACATAAGTTCAGTTGGTGGTCTTAGCCATAATTCTGGGTGCGATAATTATAGATCAGATGGTGTTGGCCGAGATGTTCGTGTGGCTGGGTCTAAACCTTATTGGCAGGCTGAGGAGGATGCGCTCACTGTGGATTCTGCTCACAGTGTAGTGAATAGATCTGGTGCTTATGTGCTTTTTGACCATAATTCTGGGTGCGATAATGGTAACCTTATCAGCAGGCTGAGGAGGATGCGCTCAATGTGGATTTTGATCATGGTCTACGGCGTAAATCTGGTGGAGATGAAGATGAACGAGCCCGTCATAGTACAACCCCAGCATCCAACAGCTTGCCATCTAGGATTGTCGTTGACTACCACCACAAGTTCATCTTTGGATGCTTTTGCTGCCACAAGTTCATCTATGGATGTTGCTGCTTGCACAACGTCTAATACCTTGTTGTCCAATATGATTATGGGCTCGTATGCCCCTTATTTGTTGCTTGACGGCTCCATCATCAGCAGTGGTGTTACCGGAGAGCATGAGTCGCATATGGTTCTGAAGTCGGGTGATCGCGATGAGCTTATGTGTCTTCGCATAAGCTTTCTGTTCATGAGAATGTCAATGTTTTCCTGTGGGAAAGCTATTCTAATTTGATACATGTAGATGGGGGTCACTTGAATACAGAGGTCAATGGTGAATCTCTTAGCAAAAAGGTTTTACATAAGGAATTTGGTACAACATATGCCAAGGTAGCCGATGCACCTAGAAATTAAAACCATGAATTAATGGAGGCTGGAAATCATAATGAGGAGCATATAGAAGCTCTATCAATGGGTGCTCACGTTGCTTTACATGAGCTTTCTGAGGGTGTTACTGCAAATATAGCTTTCGGGCTTCAAGATTATGACGTTGATGCTAGATGTAGAGGCAAGGGACGTTGCTATTGGGCGAATCCTCCAAGTGTTATGTTGGCAGGGATGAGAGGGAGGGCCATGGATTTATCGGGTTTCCTCTATCACCAAGCGCATCCTGGAAGGATAAAGGTAAGGGCATCGACTCTCGGTCTCTTAATATCATGTATGATAATGTTCAGGGTCTTAACAATGCAGATAAGGAGGAGTTTCCCCCCTTGATTTCTGGATCAAAGATTAAGGAGGGGTCTCTTGCAACCCCTAATTGTTGTGATCTAGGCAAACCCTCGTATCTCCTATTCAGAGAAAAAGGGATTCAAAATGGGGTTTGTTACTTTGACAATATGGATATTATACCAACGAAAACAATCAACGGTAAATGTTATGTGAAGATTGAACAAGAGTTGATTAAATATTGCTTCGAAAAGTGGGAGAACTGTCTCCTGGGATATTCCTGAGATGTAGACCGGAATTGATGTATATGAAAGGGATGTTATAGAAGATGTGGAGGCTGAAAAATGACCTTGAAATTTCTCACTTGGAGATGGGTTCTTGATTTTTCGATTCAAAACAAAGGAGGAAATGGAAATAGCATTCACTGGTGGCCCTTGGTTTGTAAAAAAAAAGTGCTTGGTTCTTCAAGAATGAGACCCCTCAGTTCAACCGTTTAGAAGCATTCGACAGACTGTTCCAGTTTGGATTAAATTGCCGGATCTTCCTCTTATCTTCTGAGAGTCAGGGATTCTATTTCGTATTGCGTCAAGTGTAGGAAAGCCCGTCTTTATGGACAAACCTACAAAATTGCGATCTAGGGCGGAACTAAGGATTTGTGTTGCATTGGATGTGAATAGACTGTACTTATCGGAGGTGAAGTTTGATATTTTGGGCAAAGAGTATCGTCAAAAGATTGTTTACAGAGTTTATACCAACCACTTGTTCGAAATGTAATAGAGTATG